ATTTTATTATATTTTAACAACACATGTTTTTGTACTGATTTTATTATATTTTAACAACACATGTTTTTGTACTGATTTTATTATATTTTAACAAAACATGTTTTTGTACTATTTTATTATATTTTAACAACACATGTTTTTGTACTGATTTTAATATAGTTTAACAACACATGTTTTTGTACTGATTTTATTATATTTTAACAAAACATGTATTGTGTATTGATTTTATTATATTTTAACAACACATGTTTTGGTACTGATTTTATTATATTTTAACAACACATGTTTTTGTACTGATTTTATTATATTTTAACAACACATGTTTTTGTACTCTTTTATTATATTTTAACAACACATGTTTTTGTACTGATTTTATTATATTTTTAACAACACATGTTTTTGTACTGATTTTATTATATTTTAACAAAACATGTATTGTGTATTGTTGTTAATCATTTTTTATTCAGTTTCTACAGCGATTTTATGGGTGATGGTATTGGACGTTTAGATCGAACTTACTGTGCTTATAAACTGTTAAACTAAAGCTTTACTGATTTAACTTTTTGTCGTTGTATTTCCTTAGAACACATGGTGTATATATGCATTATCTGACATCCACTAAATCTTTAAAATTATTTGGAACCGATTGCTGCTATAAATGAAGCTGGAACGCGGTTTTATTATCTTACTCCATTGTAACAGATATAAGTTGCTAATCTTAGAGCTGCTCCAGTTAATCTTCACTATTTTAGGCAAAATCGGGCTCTTGTTGTCTATGTGACATTCAACAAACATCGTGTGTTTTCTTTGTCTAGAACACTCTGATGCACTTGCTTAAATTAACACGTCTGCTGCGTCTAGCCCGACTTCTTCAAAAGATGGACCGCTACTCACAGTACAGCGCCATAATCCTTACCCTGCTAATGCTAATGTTCTCCCTCATCGCTCATTGGATGGCTTGCGTCTGGTATGTCATTGCGCTGGAAGAAATAGATGTCAATCCTATACAATGGGACGTAGGTAAGGAAAATAAAATAAAATTTTACTTTCAAAGTTTTCATGTGTTTCTTAAATACTATGAAGCAAATAACAGCTTTTAAAGACATTTTTTGGTGTTTTTTTCTCCTCTTAATAAGTTGCATTTAATAATTAGTCTGTTAGCAGTACCCACCTTATTAAGTAATCTGTAAATCAAGCCTTAAATTATATCATGCGATTCTGTATGTATCATACCTGCCATATAGTATTAATATCTTTTATTCTCTGTAGGACCAAACCTTGATTTCGCGAGGGGGCTTAAGAGAAACAATAGTTTCTGAGCGCCCCAGGTTGTCTCTGAAGCCCCGATTGTGAGATTTAAAACCTAAATTACTACCAAGTATAGTTATTGTTTTTATTTTTTTATTCGACCTCAATAAGAAACTAAACATTATAACGTAGAATGTAAACAGTTTGTTTGCTCGTACTTTCACACTCACTATATAAGCTTCTGTTTTGTTTTCATTTTTTTTATCGACCTCAGTAAGAAACTAAACATTATAACGTAGAATGAAAACAGTTCGTTTGCTCGTACTTTCACACTCACTATATAAGCTTCTGTTTTGTTTTCATTTTTATTTATCGACCTTAGTAAGAAACTAAACATTATAACGTAGAATGTAAACAGTTCGTTTGCTCGTACTTTCACACTCACTATATAAGCTTCTGTTTTGTTTTCATTTTTTTATCGACCTCAGTAAGAAACTAAACATTATAACGTAGAATGTAAACAGTTCGTTTGCTCGTACTTTCACACTCACTATATAAGCTTCTGTTTTGTTTTCCGGAAAGCATTAAAAGAGTTAAAATTCCGCTTTTACGTTTTAGAAAGGATAAATTCACTATTTGCCTCGTGTCATAATATTATTATGATTTACATTACCAGGAAGGTTTTTAAGTTAAGACCTGCGTGTAATGACTTTTTATGGCTCGTGCTCTGAACTGCTTTTAAATGAACATTATCAAGCAAGTAATCACTTGAACGTGTCTTGAAATAATAGTCTTCCAATTTCAGTTCATGACGTATGTAATTTTTATTTAAATTAAATTAACATATGTTTTTATCTCTGTATGTAATGTTTTGTTTGTTTGTAGTTAAGCACAAAGCTACACAATGGGCAATCTGTGCTTTATCCACCATTGGTATCGTAGCCCGGATTCCAGCGTTGTAAGTCCGCAGACATACCGCTGTGACACTGTAATAATTGTTGCTGATAAGCTGGAGTTTGGATCGACCAAATTCTAACAATGAAAGTACACAAACTGCTGATGTTTTCTATTTAATTAATTAACAAAACTAAATATTAAATATGTTAGCAAACTGAAATTCACTCTCCAATGACACAACGGTAAGTCTGCAGAAATATAAGGCTCTGAATCTGTTTTGATACCCGTGACGGGCACAGCACAGATAGCCCACTGTGTAACTTTGTGGTCAACTACAAACACGAAAAAAAAACTGAAATGTAATTTATCAGCTACCTATGAGGAGGAGCAGTGTCATGTAAAATGTGCTTTTAGTTATAATTATTAGGCTTAATGAGTGGCCTAGCTTCGCAGGTTTAGGCATTTTGCATGGAATATTTTATTATAAACATATCTTTTATAGCACCTAGATCGCAAAATTTACATTATGTATATCGTTTCAGTTGGCAGATTTTGTGGAAGAATGTAAAAATTTTTGTAATCAAATTACATTATTACACAATACATGAATATAACAAGCATGATGTATCATGGTATCTCGTTAAGATTTTATTTTGTTCTCTTTCGGAACTGACACTTGTGAACAATTTTACAAAATTATTTTAGTTGTTTATATCTATTATCATAATGTGCCTATTCCGAAAAATAACTTGTCCTGAATTATTAATTTTAACTTCTGATCAGAGCAAGCTACCTTCTTAGAGTAAAATTCAACCTTGTATTGATAATGACTATAGCTAATTAAATATACTATTCTTACATTTTTATTTATAAAGATTAGATCATTTGGGTACCCTCGCTGTTATAGATATTTTCGGCCATAATCCCAATAATATCAAACAAGGTTCGAACAACTTAGGAAATTTAGGTTAGTCATAAGTACATGTACAAATCAATCTTTATGATAATAAAACTAAAGACATTAAATATTCCAACCAGTAATGTTAATTAAAGCAACTAAAAAAATATAATAGGGTATATATTTAATACAGAACCAAAAATCACTAGTATCAGCCCTCACAGTGCTAAATGTCTATTTCAACAGACATGTAACCCCCTCGTTTTCTGCTCGTCATGGCTGACTTTCTGCAATCTCCAGCCAGGGCCGATTAGACATGTTACTGTACTTGGTAGAGACCAATAAACACAACTTTGTTCTGGTCAATTTAATACATAACGTGCGATAGCTGCACTCTCCGGAAACTTTGCCCCCGCTCGAATCAATGACGTGGATAAACAATTGAGTATTTATTCACTCGGCCTAGTAACTTGGCACGTATTAATTCTCAAATACAACATCCTCCATTTTGTAAAACGTTGAGTTTTTTTTTATGAACGTTTTCCCAATTATTGTTAGTGTTATTTCATTTAATACTTTTTCGAGAAAAATGCTCAATATATTTAACTCGTTAATGAATAATATTAGTCCTTCTGTAAAGGCGAAATGTAAACACAAAAATTTCGAGAAAGTTCAATACTAAAAATTCCAAAATTACAAAAGGTTGTGATATTCTGTAAAACCTCTAAAACCAAAATCAGTAGCAAGAACGTTGTTGAATTCCGCATACGTCATGTGGGTTATAGATTACTGTAGTAGTTCGAGTTGTTAAAAGTATTTTACTAGTAAATAATAGGGTGTTACGCTTTTAGGCCAATCGGTAGAGCACTCGCCTGGCGTGTGAAAGGTCTCAAATACGAATCTGAACCGAAGAAATACATATATCGTGAAAGAATAACTTACCACATTAAGATATAAATTAACAATAAAATATATTATTTTTAATGAAAATTATCCTTATTGAATGTTGATAATATTCTCTCTTAAGATTTTTATCTTTAAATAATAATATATTAGATATATATATTATTTTTCATACCTAACTTATTTTATCAACAAGTTCTAGGCTTAACAAGTTCAAGGCTTATGACTCTTTATCAGCGAACCAAAAGTATCATAGAAATTAGCGTCGCTTCAGCATTGTTAGCAAAAAAGTCCAGTTTGCTTCTGATCAGAACAACAAAATTAGATTTTCAATTGTGTCGTAGACTCTAATGACATAACAAACGTTTCGTAACTTTCCGTTAATTTCGTTTCCCTGGTCACACGATCGATTTTTGAATATTGTATGGCACGACAAAAGTATTGTTGTATGATATTAAGCAGACGAAAGATTTCAATCGACTAATTCAATTTGCTTCTTGCTACTTTCTGATTGGATGTCCGGAAGAGGGAAGTCATAAACTAAAGATGGCGTCTGATTCAATAAAGACGAGACAACGAAAAAAGTATCTTGTTGCATTATAATGTTTGACACTGTACAACAATACTAGGCATAAACAAGTCTAAAAAATTAACATGATGAATTCACCTATTTGATGTTCCTCCTTCTTTGGAAATATTAGTTAAAATTTATCTTTTCACAATATCGTCGTGACACCCTTTTCTGGTAACCTCACCAAGATAGTGGCTCCCTCATAATTAACAGTCTTCATTATTTTTGTTCTTGTGTCCGATGTTGTTTATTTTTTAACTGGTAATTCTTCATTCGAATCCTCGCTAGTTTCCTGTTACTAAAACAGACAACATGATAGATTTTTCACAAATCTGGTCTTGGATTATGCCAAGAATCGATCGTGTCGCCAGGAGTTAATTAACTGGGTTAATTCAGAAAAATAATTTATATGTATGTGTTACATAAACAACACGTATAAGAGAATAAGTTTAAATCAGAAGTCAAGCTTTACGAGATTTATAAACAAGTTACTTAATACTTTCTTATAGTTTCGAGAAATTATAGTCGCTCAGTGGTAAGTCTGCGGGCTTACAGCGATAATAATTGGGTTTTTATACCCGTAGTGGGAAGATCACAGACTGTCTATTGTGTATCTCTGCGCTTAACAACACCAGCAAATATTACAAGATTAATTAGGCGAAATCAACGCCTAGTGTAAGCAATGAATAATAGAAACGTTATATACAGTTCTCATTTTACAGTTATTTCTGATACACCTTTATACAGTTTTATTGGGGGGGGGGGAGTTAAGTTCGACGTATCCCTTTCACTACAATTTTCAAACCGCTTTCTTATTTGTATTTTTTTTATCAAAATGACCAATTATCCTTAAACAGAGCTTGAATTCGTTACGTGGTTTAAAACATTCACATATTGTTTTACAGAATTATCTTAAATATTAATTGCCAATTATTAATTGATAAAATATTAAAGTTATATTTTCTTCCTAGTTAATCACGATGTTTTCATTTACGTTATTTATTTATTTCCCCCCAACTTCTCTGTTTTCGAGTCCTTGATAATTTCATCAATCTTGTTCACGTGTCTCTTATCTAATCGTCCTCGTACGTGGCGTGATTTATTGCAGTCCGACATTTTAACGTTTATTTTGTCGTAAGTGGCGTTAATGTACTGAGCAAAAATAAACAATTAAAAGGGAAACACATAAAAGGACTAGAAGAATCTGAAAACGTCCTGTAATCGTTACAGTTGGTGAATATTATTATAAATTTATCTCTTCCTTCTATTGGGTAATTACCGCAACAGGTATTGATTTGAAAAATTACAAGGCCTAAAGACTCGGAGAACCGCCTAGCTTGCATGCCTAAAAATTCTCCATTGTATGCGATAGTAATTGAAATATGTAATAAATCGTAAAATATTTAACATAATCTTGAAACGTTTTTTTTTTTCTCTCAAACAGATTAAATTCGGTGATCTTCCCTCAAACAAGTAAACACAGAACTATCATCGAAAATACGT